CCCAGGTCTAAGTCAAATCAAAATCCCGAAAATCAAAATTCCGAAAACCAAAATCCCGAAACTTAATTGTCACGTAATGTGAAGTCGGGTTTCAATATTAAACTCCGCCCATGATTAGTAATATATAGGTAAAATCTATATTACTAATCATAGTCAGAGTTTGAATATTGAAACCCCAACATCACGCGATGCGACAACGAGTAGCGATACATCGCTATGGCGATAAAAAATAAAATCCATAAATTAAATAATATAAATTAAAAATAAATAAAAACTAAAAAAATTGAGAACGCGCCCCCGGGGCATCGCCCGGGTTTGAGAGCTAGTTGTAATACTAAATATTTATTCTCTTAACAGTATAATGAGAGGTCAGAAGAAAAATAATATACCTAATATAGTAGAGGCAATTAGATCACATGATTATGATAGGAAATGGCAGATCTTAGTTAAAAAAACATAAGAACATAAAGCTTGTCTTGCTCGCAGAAGATCCTTATAGAAGCAAAAAAGCTGTGAATCAGAAGTAACGGATAGTATAATGTAATGCGCTCGCTGATTGGTTGGAGGTAATGAACAATGTACTACATAATCTGCAATATGCATATCGATAAGCACATAAATGCATAATAAATATTTTTATGAATAAATTATTTTAGTATAAATGTTTTAATGATTGTTTAGAAAATAATTGAGTACAAAACAACCATCGAAACCGGTTTGTAATACTGATTGGTAGGAAGTAAGCCACAGAATACGTTGAGCAATTTTGTACTTGCCTTAACAAATCGAACACTATTTTCGTTTTCTGGCATATGAAAGATTAGATTAATCGATTTTTCCTTAAGTATTTAAATCAACCTAGTCATTATCGGATATTCTCAATAAAAAAATTTTATTGCATATGAAGATTTAGATTTAATTCGTGTTATGAAACCGCGGGCTATTTGATAAAAAAACAAAATGATTCTCAAAAAATTTTTCAATTCTTTCTCATTTTCTCGAGGTGCTTATTCTCTGATCGATCCTAATCGAAGTCAAAAGGAAATATTACGATATTCACGACCTTTTTTGACATTTCGTTATATTAGATTAAAATTATATTATTTTTTCTTGCTTGCTGCTTATTGTTCGTTCACATTCTTTAGTTTATTTTTATCATCCGTTTTTCTACTACCAAAATCACTCATCGGTGTATTATTGTCCGTGTCACCATTTGTGGGACTCGTTAGTTCGCCTTGTTGGAGTGTAAGATTCAATCTATTTTAACGAATTATTAAAGTAATTGATCAGATATAATTAATTCTAACTATATTTGAATAAAGGTTTTCGCAGATAAACGGGATTTACATCGCAAAATTATGATTTTATGTACCACATGTATTATATTTGCGTTTTGGTCCATACCATTCACGGGGAAATATTTTGGTTTTGGTGGTCTTTTTGTCAACCTTTTTATTTATTCAACGTTTGATGGGGGAGTTTCGACATTAGTCGATAATCTAACCATAAGTAAGTATTTTCATTTTACATCTTATAAAAGTCATGCTGATAGCTCTGTCTTTTGATAAATTACAGATGTATTAAATCGTAAAGGAGATTCTGCGGAATTTGGACGTCAGGTAATCAGTATTATTTACTTTAGCAATCATTAGTTATATTTATGATATTAAACATAATTATTATGTTATTTAGCGTCTTTTCGGAACCATAAGTTGCGGGATTTCCATAGCCATGCTTGGATTTCTGATAGATAGATTGAAGTCATTTTACGCCATATTTTTCACATTTGGATTTTTCATGGGAATATTCTTATTAGTTATATATTTAACACCTCTGGGAGATTTTAAGGTAGATCATCATGATGAATTAATTGCCGAAGATATAGAAGTAGTAAGCCTCGGTCAATTCGGGCGTACACAAAATGAAACACCCACACAAGTTGTGGATACAAACATCATGGAAACAGCACCAACACCTTTTATGAAAGCATTCTTTCAACTTATCACAAAGCCACGATTATTATTATTTCTTTTCGTGTTGCTTTCGACGCACACGATGAAAACAGCAATATCAACATTTCTTTATATTTTTTTATCAGGTCTTTCTTTAAAAATATTCCTTTTTTTAAAGATAAATTTGTATCCTAACAATTATTTACCAAATTAGAGGACCTTAAAGCTGAAGCATCTTTGTTGGGATTAAGTTCCTTTGTAGGAGTAACTCTTGAGATAGTAGTTTTTTATTTTGGGAAACATATCTCGGAATCTACTGTTCCAGAAGTCATTGTTGTGGCAGCAGGAATTATATCCACTCTTAGATCTGCATTATACGCATTTTTTGGTACAACTATGAATCCTTGGTTATCTCTCCCGATTGAGACGGTAATAATAATACATAATAGTAAAATATAATAATTTATTAATGCTTACAATAACTATTATTTAATAGCTCCAAGGAATTGAGTATGCATTAATAAAGCAAGCATCTTTAGAGATTATTTCACAGGTATCACCACCAAGATTAAGGGCTACAGCACTTGGTATACTTACAGCAACAGAAAGCTTGTCGACAGGTCAGTGTTTAAATACAACGCGTATTTTTCCAATAAAAAAAAAAATTTTTAATTTTTATGACTGTTTCACGTACGCGCAAAAGGCCTTGGACAGATTGTCGGGGGAATACTATATGGATATTTTGGTGCTGTTAGAATGTTTCTATATTCATCGTGGGTTGGAATATTAGCGATTATAATTTATATCATTGGACTTTCATTGCAGAAACAGCGATTTTATCGCTGATGAAGAAATTTTCATATTATATAATTTGAAATTGAAAAATAGAAAGTATCCCAATGGTTAGAATTTCATAGAGTTACTTATGTTTCATTGTTAACATCACGTATTACCGTATCGTCACGAAATAACGGGCATGGGCGTTATTTAAAATGATGGTCCGAATTAAGCTTAATTTAGGCCGAAATTCGTAATTTCACCCCTGCCGTTATTTCGCGGCAATACGGTATTTACATTTCATAGCAAAATTATGCAAAGAATTCGGCATCGAAAATTTTAGCTAATTATAATTCTGCATAGGGATGGCAAAAAAACAGGTTTAAATATTTTTTTCATCAATAGTAAAATCTGGATTTAAATATAGATAATATCTTAATCATAAGTATAATCTGTTTTTTTAATTACGTAATAAAAAACTTTGCCATCTTTAATTCTGCATCAAAAGCGATAGTATTCTTGACAATGAAAGGCAGACCTAAAGTTATTTATCAATTACAATTGGATAATTTGGTTTATAAAGTTATTTAAATATTACTCGAAAGTAAGCCCTCTACGATTTATAAACACTATACCGATTATTATTTCATATACGGTATATTAAACCGAAATTTTAAATCAATATGTGTCATTATAATATAGACATGAATTGCTATGTAGATAGTATTTAACAGCGTAACTTTCATAATAATCCTACTAAGATATTATAATTTATTTACAATTATTAAAAATAATAGGAATATACCCTCTTAGAATTTAGAAAATTTCGTAGTGGTAGTATCGTACACGGGTAAACAGAGGAACCGTCGATGTTACACGTCTGATCCTTTGCAACATATAAAAAATTATTTTACAATAACAGATCATTCATAATAAAAAATGATGTTGGATTATAATCATAACATGTACTAGCGGAATGGTATTCCTCCTGTTACACGGGTATTAATTTTACAAATAATTCGTATAAAACAAAATTGAGCACCGCTTAAAGTTAGACTAGGGAAAGGGTTTAAAGAAGCAATAACTGATAATTTTACGTTACACCTGATAGTGTAACCTGATTGACTTTCTTATTTCCCGTGTATGTACGCATAGTGTACAAATAAAAATTTAAAATACTTATACAAATTTATTTATTTTATAAAAAACTCAAATTATTTATTATATTTAATTATAATTTTTTATTTAAAAAAAAAAATTATTATTCTCTATACCATTGGTTAGAAATAACCACCTATTAAAACTTAGGTTAGGGTGTTGCTTTAAGATAAATAGAGGTTTTTATATAAAACAATTTGGTTGATCTTTAGTATAGGTGGGCATATATAATTATTATATAATTATTATAATATATACAAATTAAATATTTTAACTAAGGCCATGCAAACTAATAAAATTGATTCTTGTCACCCAGCTGGGTCACTTTTTAGAGAAGTTAAAATTTTTTTCTATATAAAATTTTTTTTATTCTTGTATAAAAAAAAATTATAAAAATTTTTTATATTAAAAAATTGTTAAATATAACATTTTTTGTTAGCCAGCCAGATTCTATTAGTTTGTTCTATGTGATGAAAATCAATTAATTTAATTTGCATAGCCTAATTTAGATAATTTTATAAATTATTAGGATTAGGAATAAAATTTAAATTAGCTTAAATTAGTTAGGTTTTATATTATAATCTTGTAATAATTTATATATGCATATCTATACTAAAGAAGATCCAATAATTTTTTAAATAAAATAATATAGATCAGGGTTGGCAAATGACTTTTAAATGACATAAATAACATTGTGACATTGTCATTTGTCACTTTGTCATTTAGAAGGTAAATGACAAATGACAAAAATAGTTTATATTTAAAAATATTAATTGTTAAGGTTTATATTACTTGGATATTTTAGGATTGGTTAATTTTAAAACACCTGAAGGCTTAACAATTTCAAAATCTTGTGATTAGTTAAAATTTAGTATTTTTTAATGACAAAAATAATAAATGACCTTTGTCATTTGTCACTAATTTGTCATTTGTCGCTAAAATTTTAAATAACATTGTCATTTGTAAATCCTAATATATTAGATTCTAATTTTAGTTTTTATAAGATTTTCAAAGGTTCTAAACATTTTTTACTTAACCTATCTGACTCTATTTTATAGTGCAGTTTTTAAAATATAGTGTATTGATTATTTTTAATCGCAGGCATAAATTAAAAATATTCAAAAAAAATAAATAAATAAAAAATAAAAAATAAAAAAAAATTACTATGATTTACAGCTTGTAAAATTCACAGATCTGCATTTAGTCCTGCCATAGTATTAGAACAATATGTCATGCTTATATTTATGCACTTTGGATAACACAAAACTATTTTCAAAAATGGACTAAAATTTTTAACCAAATTAATTGGCAAGCTACCTGGTTATATATTAATAACAATCAAAAAATTTCTAACTTTTTGTACAGTTTTCAATCTTCTGCTTTTAAATCCTTTAGGATTAAAATTTTATTAGATGATCTTCCTTCTCCACATATTCTACACAAATGATATCATTCATATTCACCTAATTGTTATCAATGTCATTAGATCAGCTCTTATCTTCATTGGATAATTTGTCCATCTGATCAGCTACTATATAAGCTTATAGATAATTCATTACAATATACTCTTAATACAACTACACTCAATACTACTCAAGATATTATAACTAACTTATACAACCAGATCAAGCAATTAGACTGCATAATTATACAGTATACAGTATGCCAGGTACACCTTCAGTCTTTTCAACTTTATCAGGCCTAGTACTAAATGAAATTATCACCTTTATTTCAAACTTATCAACCCTAAAAATAGCTACAATACTTGTTATAAAATTTCTACTTCATCTTAATTAACAAGTTTATCATAAAATCTGAATTTCTTACTGTATTTCAAGATTAACAGTTCATTCTTCTACTGATAATTTACCTTCTAATCCTTCTTCACATATATCCTAACCCCTTTCTTTTACTACTATTAGCTCCAAGATAAATTCTTGGTATATACATTGGATCAAATACTAATTTAATCTTTCTTATATTATTACTAATACCCAAATCTAGATGAGCCTTGGCTACTCCAGTTGGTTTAGATCGCAGATAAACTAGTCTAAGC